TTATAATTTTTATACGCCCACATGAAATGGGGACGTATATTGTCGTCACCCATGTCCGTCCGTACACAATTGCTCGTAAACACTCTACAAGGCACAATTCTTGACTGATTTCAACGAAACTTGGTATGGTTGTTTGTAATCAACCAAGGACGAGGCCCCCCTCTTGAAAATCAGAAAAATCGAAATATATTTAGTATGAGTTATTGCCCTTGTTCTTAAAATGCTCGTAAACACTCCAGAAGGCGCAATTCTTGACGGGTTTTTACTGAAACTTGGTGTGAGTGTCTATTATCGAACGAAAATCAGAAAAATCGAAAAATATTATTGCTCTTGTTCTTAAAAACGCGTTCAAGTTTTAGCCTGTAAACACTCTAAAAGGCCCAATTCTTCTCAATTTGAAGAAACTTTTAATATTATTCAGTATCGCCTCAAAAAGTTCAAAAGAAATCAAAGCTGCCAGTGGGCGTATATTACCTTGCCTGGCAAGCTATCTTTTATCATCACATAAAAAAGAATTGAAAATGTTCTCTCCCGTAAACAGCAATATAAGACAAATCGGCCCTAGGGAAACTCATTTCAGAAAATAAATAATGACTACTCGGATTGTTGTCTTAGACAATTCGCCCAAAAACTCGACACCGTCTGGATAATTAACAAAAAACAATTGAACGGTGTTGACTATATTATATGATAACCATGAAGTCCAATCATGTTTAGATACGTATAGTTCAAATACAGTCAAGTAACCTAATTCCGTGCTAACCTATTTTTCGTGCATCTCCAGAAATGATTAATAATTTACATGCGCGACCTCGCTTGACCTCCGCATTTGCTTGTTTTGATTAACATGTGTTATCTCTACAATATCAGCTAATAGAATGAATCCAGTAGTTTCAAGCAAGGTAAATGTATTAATGTATACTTTGACAAATAGAAAATGGCGGATTTCAGTTATTACCAAACGTCACCATTTTTTATCGGCCGAATTTCCTTATAATCCCATGTGTCGTCTGCTAGAATGTAGTCCAACGAATGAAGTCACGTGATCAACAAGGGGATTCCGTGTCAGCAGAAAATTTCTATGGAACACAAAGTGGGCCATATTCTTATGTTGTTTCAATGATTTTTAGCAATAAATCACGCTACGTATCTTATGTTGTCAGTCACTATTTTTTTTTTAAATCGTGGTTCTTTGAAGGAATTGTCACTAGTTATAATGAATTGATATTAAATATAAATACTAAGAAAAGTAAATTATATCACTGGGTATCCATACAACGTGTTTTTCTCGACTTATTTTTAGATCAACATTGTACACGAAAATAGGTGACGCATTCTGCCACCGTTGCGAGTTGGTTGCTCATGAAATATGGGTCAAAGTGAAGGATTCATAAAGGAAATCGAAACAAACCAATTTTAATTATTTTGTAGAATATCTGAGGAAACATCTAAAAAATAAAAATAAAATTCGTTTTTTTAACTTTGACGAAATTCTGTGTCGAATCCTTATATGCACGAAAATAGGTTACACCACTGCCTTTTTAGTTCTTTTCAAAAAGAAAAAGAGTTACAATCATGATCTTGAATGATAGTTCACTCCCTTACCTGGATCTCTATGTAATACAAATAAACAGAGAGTTCTTTTGCATTTATGTTTCCTTAACATTATAACTGTATATATTATGATCCATCCAACATTCCTATTATCAAAAATACAGAGTAGTGAAAAAACAAATGTAAAACATAGTGCAAATGACAGTGAATATGATTCTGATGACTCTGTTCTCCAAGAATTTGCCTAAAGAGAAGTTAACACAATTCATCCTGCGATAATAAACAATGTCATCAAATTTGCTCAATTTCCGTCAAGAATTGCACCCTCTACAGTATTTAAAAGCTAAAATTTTAACGAATTTCCAAGAACAAGGGCAATAACTCATATTAGATATTTTTCGATTATTCTGATTTTCAATAATAGCACAGGTGCTTAAAGCTGTAGGTAACTGTGTTTCAAAATGAAGACACTGTAACACCAAGAATTTCACATTCATCAAACCACACCCACTGACATTGCATTTTATTTGCAGGAATGGGTGGAATCTTGATATCAATACCACCACTAGGTCTTGTAGTATAAATTGGAAATGATCAGGATAAGCTAGTAAATTAATTGTGGTACACGAGTTAATGTATCACCTTGTGGCCACTCTAAAACTATAACAGTCGGAACATTCTACTGCCGATGATTGTAGATGGTAATTTGGTAGTTAATAGTGACTGTAGATAAGGTATATGATGGAAGATGGTAATTTGGTAGTTAATAGTGACTGTAGATAAGAGTATATGATGGAAGATGGTAATTTGGTAGTTAATAGTGACTGTAGATAAGGTATATGATGGAAGATGGTAATTTGATAGTTGATAGGTGAGTGATGGATGATGGTAATTTGGTAGTTTATAGTGACTGTAGATAAAGGTATATGATGGAAGATGGTAATTTGGTAGTTTATAGTGACTGTAGATAAGGTATATGATGGAAGATGGTAATTTGATAGTTTATAGTGACTGTAGATAAAGTATATGATGGAAGATGGTAATTTGATAGTTGATAGGTGAGTGATGGATGATGGTAATTTGGTAGTTTATAGTGACTGTAGATAAAGGTATATGATGGAAGATGGTAATTTGGTAGTTTATAGTGACTGTAGATAAGGTATATGATGGAAGATGGTAATTTGGTAGTTTATAGTGACTGTAGATAAGGTATATGATGGAAGATGGTAATTTGATAGTTTATAGTGACTGTAGATAAGGTATATGATAGAAGATGGTAATTTGATACTTAATAATGACTGTAGATAATGTTTATGATGGAAGATGGTAATTTTATAGTTAATAGTGACTGTAGATAAGGTATATGATGAAAGATGGTAATTTGATAGTTTATAGTGTCTGTAGATAAGATATATGATGGAAGATGGTAATTTGGTAGTTTGTAGTGACTGTAGATAAGGTATATGATGGAAGATGGTAATTTGGTAGTTTATAGTGACTGTAGATAAGATATATGATAGAAGATGGTAATATGATAGTTTGTAGTGACTGTAGATAAGGTATATGATAGAAGATGGTAATTTGATAGCTTATAGTAACTGTAGATAAGGTATATGATGGGAGATTGTAATTTGGTAGTTTATAGTGACTGTAGATAAGGTATATGATGGAAGATGGTAATTTGATAGTTGATAGGTGAGTGATGGAAGATGGTAATATGATAGTTAATAGTCAGTGTAGATAAAGGTGAGTGGTGGAAGATGGTAATTTGGTAGTTAATAGTGACTGTAGATAAGGTATATGATGGAAGATGGTAATTTGATAGTTTATATGTGAGTGATGAAAGATGGTATTATGATAGTTAATAGTGAGTGTAGATAAAGGTGAGTGGTGGAAGATGGTAATTTGGTAGTTAATAGTGACTGTAGATAAGGTATATGATGGAAGATGGTAATTTGATAGTTTATAGGTGAGTGATGGAAGATGGTATTATGATAGTTAATAGTCAGTGTAGATAAAGGTGAGTGGTGGAAGATGGTAATTTGGTAGTTAATAGTGACTGTAGATAAGGTATATGATGGAAGATGGTAATTTGATAGTTTATAGTGACTGTAGATAAGGTATATGATGGGAGATGGTATTATGATAGTTAATAGTGACTGTAGATAAGGTATATAATGGATGATGGTAATTTTGTAGTTTACAGTGACTGTAGATAAGGTATATGATGGAAGATGGTAATTTGATAGTTTGTAGTGACTGTAGATAAGATATATGATAGAAGATGGTAATTTGATAGTTTGTAGTGACTGTAGATAAGGTATATGATTTCAACATTTCTGATTTCTGCAGTTGCAAAACACCCAAATACAAATTTAACCTTCATTTAATGGGTATTTGCAAATATAGACAAGTTAAAATGCACCCTGACGGATGAGTTCGACATAGGCGTAAGCACCAACGAAAGCGAAAAGTTTCGATAATTCTGTACGTAGACTTGAATACATGTATAAGGGTTTTAATATTAAGCTACCATAAAATCTATATAAATCTTCTGAGAGGTCTGCTTTCACATCTTATCAATTCAAGGTCTTTGGCCATATGACACTACACATAGTTACTTATCGCTTTATTCTTATCAATTTTATTCAGAAGAATTGCCAGGTAAGTCGTGTTTGTCAATTATTAACAATATATTTTCTGACATTTTCATTTAACTTTTAAAATGATTATTTTGATTATTATACCCCGATATGTTTTTGTTAAGTCATGTCTATATTAATCTTACAATCTTATTTAAGGTTATGAACATGGACTTTCTTTGGAGTTGTCTGTGTGTGCTGGTAATACAACATATTGTGGTAGGAGTCAGGTATGATCCAACATGGGAATCTATTGACTCCAGACCTTTACCACAGTGGTATGACGAAGCTAAACTTGGTATATTTATTCACTGGGGAGTTTTTTCAGTACCAAGTCTAAATAATGAATGGTTTTGGTACAGATGGAAACATGACAAAAATCCAGAAATCGTGAACTTTATGAAAAATAACTACAGACCAGACTTTACCTATCCCGATTTCGCATCTCAGTTTACAGCTGAGTTTTATAACCCTGCTCAGTGGGCTGATATATTCCAAGCTTCCGGAGCAGAGTAAGTTTAAGATGTCTTAATCGAGTCTTTCGTCTTGGACTAGAATGGACGTTATATGAAATTTTTCCACAAAATCTAAGAGAGGAAAATTGTTTTCTTCCAAAAAAACATTTAGCTGATCCACTCTATTGTAATACCAACCCATTTCCATGATCAGCCCATGCTCCGAAAGACTAATAGATGGAAAAAAGTGCATATATATGACCAAGCTTGTTCATATATATTTTAGTTATGAATAAATTAAATAATTCTATTAGAAAAATCCAACGACACTTTTAAACACTCACTGTATTGTTACAGGTATGTTGTGTTGGTGAGCAAACATCATGAAGGGTTCACAAATTGGCCATCTAACTATTCTTTTAATTGGAACTCGATGGCTGTTGGTCCGAAAAGGGATTTGGTTGGTAAGTTGATTACATAATGCACTATACATATGTAGAATTGTTACCACCTGGTCCTGACCCAATTTAATTGAACAGGGAATCTGATGTGATGAACATTCTAATTACCAAAAAATGAGTAGCAATTTGATTTGGTCAGATCATGTGGAACGACGCCCAGAAATGAAAACTCCAGATTTAAATTTAAATTAAATTTTAAAACTAAATGTTTTCTAATCTTATTTCGCAGCTAGAGTACTTTCATGCAGACATCAGTAGATGTTGTCAACAACACTCTATAAGCTGTCCACACAACGTTTATCTGGAAGTTATTTCATAGTTCACTATATGTTATATATTTCTAGGTGATCTTGCTAAAGCTATTAGACAGAATACCTCTATACATTTTGGCTTGTATCATTCTTTATTTGAATGGTATAATCCCTATTACTTACAAGACAAAGCAAATAATTTCTCTACACAATATTTTGTAAATGTAAGTAAATTTATTCAGTTAATTTGTTTTATAATGGTTATTCTGTAAAAGTTTATTATACACATATCAGACTGGAAGAGGCTGTAATTTTAGCTTTGATGCAAGATGATTTGGTCAGCGCACTTACATTTTTCTGCCAGAGAAGATGAAACATAAAACGAAAGGATCGGTGTTCCCAGTCCCCTCCTACGTAGTCTTACGATTCATCATGACAGCTTATATTTTTTAGGGTAAAACAATGCCAGAATTATACGAATTGGTAAATAACTATAAACCGGAAGTCATTTGGTCTGATGGAGATTGGGAAGCTTCTAGTGATTACTGGGATTCTAAACAGTTTATCGCCTGGTTGTATAATGACAGGTACACGAGTTATTGTTCTTTAAGACAAATTAAAAGCGCTCCATATATATAAAGATTCGGCTTGCCAAATTGCAAAGATACATGTGTTTCTTTCATTTTGTGAAATGGTTTTTTACACTTGTACTCTTTTTGTTACAGTCCAGTAAAAGATACAGTAGTGACTAATGATAGATGGGGTAAAGATTCCACTTGTCATCATGGTGGATATTTAACCTGTCAAGATAGATATCAACCAGGTAAAAATTTAACTATCCAAAACAACAATATGTAACGCCATGCGTTCAGAGAGAAACTCAATCCAGTTTCATCAGAATCTTTCTTTAAGAATACAATTCTATCATGGAAACCGGGTACAAAATTTCATATTGACTATTTTGTCCAATAAATTCCAGGTGTTTTACAGAAAAGGAAATGGGAAAATGCCATGACAATAGATAAAAAATCTTGGGGTTTTAGACGTAACGCTGCTCTCGATGAATATTTAACAACAGATGAACTTATTGATACGTTTGTTGAAACTGTCAGGTTGGTATGTTGGTATACAATTGAACTTGCTCTACTATCCCTCTTAGGACAACATTTCATGATTTTCGAAAGACAATCTCATGCTCCGTCTACAATTTCTTTTAAATTTTTGGTTGTTGATAATAGGACATCGAAATCATTTTCGTAATGTTAATTGGTCTCGCTTTTAGAACATGACTTGAGCATAGTGCGAGTGCTGGTCTCGCTCTAAAAATTGTGTTAGCTGCCATATAGGCTTGACTATCTTTAATAATAATGCTACCTGTATATATAATTTTTCATTACTAAAGCTGTGGAGGAAATATGTTGATGAACGTAGGACCAACTAAAGAAGGAACTATCAGGCCCATATTTGAAACCAGGTTAAGGGACGTGGGGTCATGGTTATCGGTTAATGGAGAAGCTATCAGAAGTTCAAAACCATGGATCTCTCAAAACGACACAAGTAACTCCAAGAGTTTGTAAGGGTTTGGGATCCTCTAGATCGATGCAGTGATTTGATGAAGCATTACGGCTGAATGTTAATTGCGTCATTTGTTTGAATGAAAAGCTCTCCAGCAACGATTCTCCCAAAGTGACGTTTTAAAACAAACAATCATGACACATGACACATAGCTTTAATAATATTGTATTCAGTATATAAGCAATGCTTATTATTATAATCACAGGTACACCATGAAAAACAGTGACGTATACGCCATAGTGCTTGACTGGCCAACAACTTCAACTCTCAGTCTGGGAGCACCAAATCCTCAACCAGACACAACAGTGTCTTTACTGGGTTATAATGGTGGGACCTTTACCTGGAAATCAAGACAAGGAGGTGGAATGGATATCATGATACCGGCTATTCCTGCAAATAAGATGCCTTGTCAATGGGCCTGGGTGTTTAAACTTTCGGGTCTTTCTTAGGTATGGCGATTAAATAATAAAACGTTATTATTATATAACCGGATTTGTCTTCATTAATTCAGCTAGCTGTTATGGTTACATTTTGTCAACACCCCCTCCCCTCCCACCCTCTCGTCCCTTTCGGGTCAAATTAAATCATGTTAGATGTATTCTCCAGCTCACCTCATAAGAACATTTTAAGGGGCTAACCCCCAACATTGACTAAAATCCACAAAGGGGTGCTGGGGCTAAACCGGCTATGTCAGTTAAAGATCCCTCGGCAATTGTTTTGTGAAAAAGAACAGGCCAGTACCGGTGCCATGGCATATTATCTTCATTGTAGCCTACATTGCACGACTTTGCCCACATCAACAATTAAATAATGAGAAAAATAAGGCGTAGTCTCTATATAGGCTAACTTCATTCATTTCATTTTCACGGAAATGGGACCTAATCGAATCACAGATGGTCATTCTATGACTAGCATTGACAAGTTCATATTTCAGATGGAGAGAATAATGTTTTGATTGTGTTGTGTTTAAAATCAAATTACTTAACTTTAGGGACAGATAGGCTACAGTGTGATTTGAGTCTTGAATATATGTAAATAGTCTAGTACTGGAAATGTACCAAAATAGCATAATTCCTTCAAAATTATCTCAAATTATGAATTTCTTTTCCTATTTCCATAAATTTTCTTTCTCTACATATGGAAGTATCTCAGGAAAAGACGACTTGTCTTTTTAACTTTCAAACGCGGATAACTTCCATGGATTTGAGTTATGAACACTATTACTGATTGGCTAAAAAGTTCTGAGACTAAGGTACGATTGTCAAAACAAATGCGAATCTAGATCTGTCCCTTCAATTAACTAACACTGTAACCAGTGGCTACACAAAAGGTTGCCAAATTGTCTTCAGTTCACTTGTTGGTTACGTATTTGTGAAAAGTTCAAGGTCGAATAGAATTTTCCGGTTGATTGTAAACAACTACACGTGAAGAAAATCGAATAAAACACAATTTGTTTTTAGAGATCACGATTTTCAACCCAAATTTACTTTCAAAAGTGCAGACAGTAGAATATAGTACGTTTCATTTCCAGTTAACAAACACTCTGATTTCCAAACAGAATCTTGTTTGTCACTGTCAGTTTACATTACATTATGCATAGGCCTAATCATACAGTGGTGTAACCTATTTTCGTGCATCATCATAAGGATTCAACACAGAATTTCGTCAAAGTTAAAAAAAAACGAATTTTTTTGTTTTATGTCTTAGATGTTTCCTCAGATATTCTACAAAATAATTAAAATTGGTTTGTTTCGATTTTCTTTATGAATCCTTCACTTTGACCCATATTTCATGAGTAACCAACTCGGCAACGGCGGCAGAATGCATCACCTATTTTCATGTACAATGTTTGATCTATAAATAAGTCTAGAAAAACATGTTGTATAGATACCGGGTGGTATAATTAACTTCTCTTAGTATTTATCTTTAATACCAATTCATTATAACTAGTGACAATTCCTTCAAAGAACCACGATTTTAAAAAAAAATAGTCACTGACACAATAAGATACGTAGCATGATTTATTGCTAAAAGTCACTGAAACAACATAAGAATATGGCCCACTTTCCATAGAAATTTTCTGCTGACATGGAATCCGCTAGTTGATCATGTGACAAGATTATATTTTTATCAACATAAAAATCCATGTGTAAAACTGAAGCTACAGATAGTAAACTATTATTTTTGTCAGTTGTCTATCATAGTCTTGACTTGTATTACTACTCCCCATCAGCACTGAGCTCAGAATTAAATTTATATTCCCCTTATTTCACAGGTTTTTATATGGCCACATTAAAATGTGGTCGCCTCAATTGGCTTGTCAACGCAATAGAGACTACAGTTTTTATCTGATTTTAACGAAGTTTGGTGTGATCATTTATATTGATGAGATCTTTGACGAGTTCGAATTTGACAACCTTTCGATGAACCATTTTTTAGTTATTGCCCTTGACAAAAATTTCTTTGTGAACACAATAGAGACTATAGTTTTCATCCGATTTAAGTGAAATTTGGTGTGATCATTTATGAGGATGAGATCTTAGTCAAGATTTTGTTTGACAATTTTTTAATCAAAAGAATTTGAGTTATTGCCCTTGACTTAGTAAAAACCCATCAAAGTTTGTTGCGTTGTGAGCCCAATAGAGGTGACAGTTTATGTCAGAATTTTTCTTAATTTTTTGTGTACAAATTAGATTTTGGTATGATTTGACACAGATTTGTGACCACCCTTGATATACTAAAAATGTATCAGGAAAGTGGGTGTATCTTGCTAGGCAACCACTTGTTAAAGATTGTCTTCGTGTCCATACAAATATAGGCTTTTGAATTTTTACATTTGAAATGAACACACTTCCCTTCAAGAAATTTCTTGTGAAATAACCCACATTTGGGACTGAAAACTCCCCTCTGTAAAATCTATTTCCTAATAATAATTATTTCTTCATTGTTTGACATTTTAATCAAACAGATAACAATCTAAGGTTTCCAGTCTTTTTTGGTAGTTATTTTAAATAAAATGAAAATGACAAAATTCGATTCTATGAACATTGTTAACAGAGAGTAATTCAATAACTCAACAAACCAGCAGCAACATTAGGTTCAGATACAATTGACTTGGGAAAAAGTCTGAAATTTAGAATTAGAATCTCTATTTCTTTTGATAGACATTTTAATCAGATGTTCAATTTGGAAAAATGGATCAGACTATAAATAGAAACACATTAAGAAGATTACATATTGGTGGATTATCTTCAGAAGTAACAGTAGATGAATTAAAAGAAAAATTCAATAGTTTTGGTACAATTCAAGATGTAGAAATAAAGACTAAGAAAGATGTCTATGGTAGTTGAAATTAAATAGAATCTTATTGAAAGAGAATTTTGAGAATTTGTTTGCAAATAATAATACTTCCAGTAATTTTTTTTCTTTTTTTTTTTTTTTGGGTTTTTTGAGATCAGATGTTCTTGCATTCAGAATTGAAAAAAGAAATATTTTTCTGACAGCCAAGACTCAATGAATATTATTTTCAAATGATGTTTCATATATTTTGCTTTTTTCAGGGGAAGATTTTAATACCTTTGCCTATATTAATATCATAAGTGATGAATCAGCCTTGAATAAATGTAAGTTTGTTTCCCTTTTTTTCCCAAGAAACAGAACAAGAAATAAACGGTCATACTTAACAAAGATAATCTGTATGGTTCTCAAGGACATTGACTAATAACTGGTTCTTGACATATTGTGAAAAAACACAATGAGAAATAAACATCCAAAACGTACCCTGTAAAATTATTACTGTCTACATTTCATCTTGGTTGGCTATTGTAAATTGCATACTTTGTTAATTATATATAGGTTTTAGTATTTTCAACAAGGCTAAATGGAAGGGGCGTTCTTTGCAAATTCACCTGGCTAAAGAACATTTTTTAAAAAGGTATCTTATAATGTGTTTATATCCAATATTTTTCATGTAACTCTGGAATTTAAGTTCTAATTCTAATAATATAATTATCAAATCAGTTGGTTCATGTTCAAAAGCATTCAATATGATTAGAGCTGTTATCAGAGACATTTTTCAACAACCTAGGATTGTATATGATCATGCCATTTGACTACTCTTTTTTTGGAAATCCAAGCCTATTCTACAAAGCACAAATACAGATAGAAGTTGATATAACTTCAGCTTTGGTCAATTTCTACAAAACAGGACTGTTTTTTGTTTTTTTTTATAGTATCTAGCCTACCGAGATGTAAAATTAGGTGATGATATAACAGTAAGTTTATCAAGTTTATTATGTTATTTTTAAGATTAGATGAAGAAAGAAACTATCCAATTGTTCCAGTTGTAAAGAAAGTTAAAACCAATTTTCACAATCCTTTAGCTCTTTTACCAGAAATAGAAGATTTTAACATGAAAGGAAAAGTTCCGGGTACTCCAATTCCAGGTGAAAAGGTTTGTCAATAATGAGCTTATATTACATTTAATGGTTAATAATAGCAGACAAATCTGGCCCTATCCTTTCCTCAGACAGAATATATGGATGGGAATTTCGACATGTTTGGGTCAAAGTAAGTGTCATTTATGGTAGTTGCTGTGACCCACCTTTGGGGTTTTGAGAATTTTTACTATGTTAAAAGCCAAATTTCCCATAAATATGGGTATCAATACAAAGCTGAACCATTAGTAAGTCCATCAAGTCAGTGTCTGATATTCTACAATGTCCCTGAGGTATAATTTTCTGTTTGTACAAATCCATAAGTTAAGCCTACACCTACCTGATTTGGTACTGTATGGGGTTCATGGAAATTGTAGAATGTCTCCTCGTGAACAGATGTTGTTTTTTTTTTTCTTTGTAGAAATGGGTAGTTGGTAAATATGGAAGAATATTACCCATAGTAAATGTTAGAAATAGATCTTTGAATAAGATATCCTTTTAGAATTAAAGATTGTATAATGAAAACATTTAAGAAAACTCTAGCTTCTATTTAGCTCGACAACCCTATTGTGATAAAAAGAAATCTGATGCAATGATAATATGTAAATTAACCTTTTGCTCCAGGCAAACATCTTTGTCCACCATCTATCTGTCTTTTCATCTTTCCTTGTAAACTTACTAAAATCTTCAGTTTTGATGGATTTTGAGAATGCTTCAAGCTTAGTTGAGCCCATTCACACCTTAAGGAAAATCAAAGGTGCTCATGTCTGCTCTTCCTTACCTGGATTTTTATTTACTTTTTGCTTCATGTAATACAAATAAACAGGCAGTTCGCTATTTTTCATTTATGTTTTCTTAACATTATAACTGTATATATTACGATCCATCCAAATATTGTCATAACCTGAAGAAATTGAAAGAGGAAGAAGAAAGTGAAAGAGTTATAGATATTGAAGAATTAACGTGGAAAGTTGAAACAGATACTAACAATAGTTCATCAAAACGAAGATGTGGAGATTTTTCTGAATTCGAAAGTTATGTCCCTAAACGTGTTAAACTAAATGAAGATTATTGGAGTGATGAAATGCAAGAAAAAATGGAGGAACTACGAAGAAGATATTTGGAAAAAAATTCTGAAGAAATTCCTCGAAAGTTTGAAGATGATATTGAAATTGTAAAAAGTAGGAAAACTGTTTCTAGTGAATATCACATTCCTAAAACAGACTTTATTTATGATTCGGATGAACAGCTCTCTAATGATGAAGAGCAATTTCAGCATTTATCAGTCCTTGGTGAGGCTACAACTTGTGGATATGACTCTGCTGGTTCTGCTGACACAGATGAGATTATAGCAATGAATGCTTCGAGAAACAAAACAAGCTCTTCCAACAATTCAATTGCTAACAAGGAGCAAAATATTCCCTTGAAAAAGCCAGTAGTGAATGAAATTGATTCAAAACCAAAAATTGATCAGGTGGTTACAGTAAATGACAAACTTACTTCTAACAGCGAACTACCTCTTAAAACAAAACAGAAAATTGAAATAGCTCTGTCATATGTTGATAATAATATGAAACAGATACCTTTTCAAGGCATAGCTATGCTAGATTGTTTGAGTATTGAAACAGTTCCTAAGACGACTATAAAAAGCGCAGGGGATTCTGAAAGTGATACCCGCCCTGAAAATGAAAATGACGAATTTGATGAATGTAACGCTAATAATTCATATTCTTCTATATCAAAATTACAGAGTAGTGAAATACCAAATGTAGAACATAGTGCAAATGACCGTGAATATGATTCTGATGACTTTGAAAAAGTTGCATTGAAATATTCAGACTCCTTGTCTGTTCTCCAAGAATCTGCTCTAAGAGTAGAGCCTGATTTGAAATTAGAAATTTCAAAAATAGACCTTCAAGAGAAAAATATTTCTAACAAAATGTTGACAGCAAGTGATTCAGAAGATACAGATGATATGATAAAGAAAATAAAAAATACTGAAAAAACAATAAAATTAATAGTTTCTATAGAAAACTGTTCTGATGAAACTGTAACAAACATAAGGCAAAATAATGATACAAGTATTGCATTAAAAATACCAAATGAAAAGGAAATATCATCTGATAGTGATTTAGATTCTGATGATTTTGAAAAAGTTGCTGAGAAATATTCATCTTTTGTGGCAAAGGACACCATACTGAATGATCATACTAAGACAATCGATGTAACTATTAAAAAATCAGAGACTTTCAAATTAAATAATGACCAGAGATCTTCGTCAGAATCTGATATTGAAATATTGATAAAAGATAGAAAAGTAAAATCACTAAACACACCTGCAAAGAACTTGATAAAGATTCAGGAAGAGACAGGAGGTTCAATACTTAGCTATGATACTGATGATGATAATACAGTAGATGATGTCAGTGGAAATGAATCTGATAGAAATAAAAATGAATGCAATAACAGAGATAAAAGTAAAGAGGAAAGTAAAGATGATGCTAGATACGGTGTGAAGAAAACAGATAAAGGGAGAATAGCCAGTAGTGATGATGAGAGCAGTAATGATGATTACTCGAACAGTGATGAAGAGAGTGACAGTGATGATCAAAGTGATGGTGAAGATGCCTCTGAAGCCAATAATGGTGATACCAATAAACAGGGGGTTGAGGAGACTGACAACAGTGATAGTACAGAATCTGATGACAATGATGATAGTGACAATGATGGTGATGATAGTGACAAAGATAGTGATGATAGTGACAAGGATAGTGATGATAGTGACAATGAGAGTAATGAAAATAGTGACGATGATAAGGAGAAGGATGAAAATGAGGAGGATGAGGGAGGTGATGAAGATAGTAAAAAGGAAGGAGATGAAGAACATGCATGTCAAAAGAATAAGAATTTCTTTGTTTCATCATCATTGTTCAGTGCCTTTGTAAAGCCAGAAAAGGATGTCAACAGTGGTTTTTCCTTTTTGAAAACTTTTGGAAATCAGAATATATCAGGTATGTAGAGAGATTTTTATTCAGTTTTAGGAAGATTATAAAGATAACTTGAGCCTGACATAAGTTGAGATATTACCTGGATAACATAAGGACAGGTTTCATTCTGTTAGTTTTGCAGGTCTGACATAGACTGACTTACCAGTAGTTGAAAATCTTCTAAAGGAACAGGGACAGAAAACTAAGATACAAATCCAAACCTACTTTCCAATTAGCCTACAATTGCTAAAAATTTATTTGTTGGTTAATTTGTAGAACAAATATTTAATTTCAGAACCAGAGAAATTGGAATTACCAAAAAATCTGAGAAAGAAAGAAGAGACAGAGTGTTTAAGAGAAAAAAGGTATGGATGTGAAAATTCCTGAAAGTTCTCAAATTTCCAATTATCGGAGATATATTTGAAGTGAACCTTTATTATGATAGCAGGAATTGAGTACAATTCAGTCATATCAGTACTGCATTCAGGTAACAGGGTTTTTATTGTTGTTGTTGTATTTTGAAACTGGGCTTGTCATCTCAGTTGGTAACTTTGCAAAATGAACAGTAAACACAAGCAATTAATGCTTGATGTAGATGTTATTTCTTAATTCTAGTGATGAAATTGAAGAAAAACAAATAACAAAGTCATCAACAAGATTTTTCTTTCAACCCAAAGACATTCGTCTCCAAGGTATGTAACTTTTTCAAAATCGTAAAATCAGAAAAAAAAAAGATTATTACTTTATACTAATTACTAATACAAAGTTCTGCTTCATTTCATTCATTTATGTGAAAAATTATGGATTAGAGAATTAATTAAATTTTTTTTTTTTGTAGAAGGTGTGCAATTTTTTCACCGAAAAATGGAGTTGGATGAAATAGAAGACAAATGGAATGAAGTAAAACCTGTTTTCCTTGCTGTAAGATTTTTGTATATTATTGCCGTCGCCCCTGTCTGTCTGTTCACATTTGTTGTATGCATGATAGAGGCTACAGCTTAATCTGATCTTGATGAAATTTGGTATGCATGTATATATTGATAAGATCTCAAGTTCAAAAATGGTAATAATTGGATGAATGGTTTTTGAGTTATTGCCCTTAAATTATTTCAATTTGGCTTGACGGCCTGATAGAGACTACATTTTTTATCCGATCTTGATGAAACTTTGTATGAGATCTCAGTAAAGCTTGAAATTAATGAGAATGGGATGATTGGTTTCACATGTTAAACCACTACAGACTTTGTTATCATTTCTGACAACTGATAGTGGTGTATGTTACCTTGTCTGGCAAGCTATCTTTTCTGTGGAGAGTTATCATAAAGGAACAACTACAACTTGTCTAGTTGTTGTCTTAAATTTCAGTAATGAATGTAGAGTACTGTACTGCACTGTACTGATTTTTCCATGACCAGACAAATGTCATAGAATTAGAGATATTCGCAAATAAATTGGAAATAGAGAATATCACAGAATCATTTAAATCTATCAATCACAAAATCTATGTTAAAATGTTTTCTTAAGCTGTACTCAAACACAATGACTATATATTTCTATATTTTAATTGGGGTTTATGAACAGAATATTGCAAAGTAGACTGGTTTGTTTTATTATTTGATTTATTCATTGATGTACTGGTATATGAATTTGAAACAATTGATAACTAGCTTCATTTAACAAAAACAATATTTTTTTTCAGACTTGTAGACAGAGAAACAGATTGGCACTAAAACGATTAGATCATGAAAAATTAAAGAAAAGAAAAATATCCTTTACAACATCTTTTATGTTGAAAAATAGAAAATAAAGAATATTTGTATAAACTCATGTTGTTATGTACTTTTTAGTTCAGTGGTGTTCAGACGAGAAATCAGTACGCCTATCTTTATCTCAATGAGAACTTAATTATATTCTACAGAATAGGCTTTATCACTTCTTAAAAGGAAGCTTCCCTGCTCAAATAGCATTAAGAAAAGAGGAAGAAATTGATTGAATTTTGGTCTGCTGAATTATAGATATAAATTGGATTTGAGTTTAATTTATATAGAAGCGTTTTCTGGAAAAGAAAGTAGAGCTAGTGTTGAGAGCTTAAAAGAGGATGCTCACCTTAATGCTATTCTGTGAATTTATCACTTTGGAGACCTTGGTTAATTTGGTATATTTATTTAACTATTCTTCCTCTTGAAACATGATGGACGTAAAACTTCTTTCTTTTCGTTTGACATGATTATGCAAGGCCAGGCCAAATGGAAAGTTGTTTGTAGTCTGAAGGTTTCACGTAAAGCCTGTTTTAGAAAAATAAAGGGAGGTAATTGTCAGTATTTCAAGATGATGTATTAATTAAGCATACCTTCGATAACTTGGTAGAGCAATTATGCAGTCATATTGGAAAAGCCTGATGCATTTACGTACAGAAACATTGAGAGGACCTGATAGTATTTGGTATTGTGTCAATGTAAACGTTGTAGTCTAATTAAGTCCCCTGTTTGAAACTCTACTGTTGCCCAGCAACTTGAGACGCGCACTTGTCGATCAAGAAATGGTTTGTATTGAAAGTTTATTTTTATGTTAAGATTCAAAATGAACCTATAATATTTGCAAATATTAACTTATATATACAATTTATGCTTCTGTTGATGTTTTTTACTCTGATAATAGATATGAGAAAGAAACAAGGTCTGAATCAAAACTTTTAAGTAACTCAACCAAGTAGTAGTCAATGACAATACTTATAGTCCGAAATATTCGGACAATTTTGAGTAGAGCCTCTTAGTCTTACTTAATACTTTTTGACAATGGTACAATACTTTCTGAATTGATATTTTCTTTTATATCATTTCTTAAATTGTCAGTGTGAAGTTTCCAATTGTATACTTTTATTTGCCCTTGAATCTGAAGGTTTTGGTAATTTTGCATTTCAACTGAACTCCTTTCTTGCAGATAGGCCAGAATTTTCACTGAACATCCAATCTATGCCCTTTACAAAGATGTGTTTTTACGAGTTTTCAAGTACATCAAGCCATCTTGTTTAGAATTGTGAAACTGTCCTTCCCCTTCCATGAAAAGAAATGTCTATACAATGTAACCTTGATATGGTTAACGTTATTTTAACTTCCAAAAAATAGGCTATCATAATTTGTATTGATAGGAGCAGATTTAGAAAAAAAAAAGTAACTTGGAAAGTTGTTTGGTACAATTTTGACAATGGAGTTGTCAGCGATGTACCAGGTTTCCAAGAGTGAAAAGGTTCTAGATGCAGAAAAAGATTTAAAGAAAGATCTAGCAGAGTTAAAGTCTGAATTAGAAGAAAATGAAATGGTTCATGGAATCCCTGTGAAAACGATAAGGTTGGTAAATTTCTTTATTAATACAGTAATTACAAATAACTTAATGCTGGAACACCTGAACCCACTCTGCAACTAAGTTTGTCAACTCAACAACCATTTGTTGGTGCGCATAACTAGTAGGCTAATGCTTTTTTTTCTTCAGTTTTTTAGTTAGTTAATGAACTTGTATCTTTGAATTTTAATTGTGATGTTTATAATTACCGTATTCTATATTTAAAGCTCTGTTCCTCTGCCAAGAGATGTAGAATATTTTCAACAGGAAAGAAAACAGGTTATCAATAGAATTTTTCAGGTACAGTATAAGTAATTATATTTCATTGGAGTATAAAGTTCCTTAGACTGCCAAGTTGACTCTAAATAATACTACGTATTTTAGAGACAGACCACCAAGTAGATAAATATGCAATTTCTAGAAATATTCATAGCTGGTCTTCGAAAACGAGAGACAGGATGCTTCGGTCTAATAGTTCTTTCAATCAAACTACAGTGGAACCTTGTTTATCTGCACATTCCCGTTCCCGATAAAATCGTGCGGTTTAACGAAAATCCGGATAGTTCAATCATGCCATTCCACAACTAGAGTTATATCCCTTCCTATAAGTTCTATAAGGACACCTGTCAAATGTCATGTACGCAACATGTGATAGACATGTGTGTACTTTATAGGGCCAATACGTTTTGAAGAACCCCGATTGTTTATAATTTTTCATTTAATTTCACTATCATAGTATAGTAATAACAATATCATTCCTTAAAATTAGGATTCGCTGATTTATAAACATAAATTACCGTACCGTATCATCGTAGCGATAATGTTTGATGTGTTCCGTAGCCATGATGGAATTCAGGTATGACTGAACGAAAAATTGAATTCAAGTATTACTAAACGAAAGATCATTAAATTAACCGCATATTCTCAAATAATGATTTATTAAACACCGATTAACGAATAATACTAATCGGGAAACCTGTTTTGCTAATAAATAAAATGGTATTCAGGTATGATTGAACGAAAGACAGCTTACACGTGATGATTAAATTAATGGCCGAGGATATTCACCACCCAGGTGGCAAACAATTATTCGCCCTAAATTAATTGCTTAATCTCATAATGAGGATTTATTAAACACCAATCACGCGACATAAAAAATACCGCTAATCCGGAAGCCAGTTAGAAGAACTCACAGTAACAAGCGACCGAATGATGAATACTAATTACTATAGAATTTGATAATTGGTTCCCAATCACAGCCGTGCAGAACCGGAAACCGGAGCACCCAATTACTTTTACATAGTAAATATTTCTTTCCCAGTAAAAAGCGTGCGGATATCGGGGTGTCCGGATTATTGGCAACCGGATAAACGCGGCTCCACTGTATACTAATATAATTTTAGAAGAAGTAGAACTGATTGATCTACAGCTTAAAATTTTGTTGCATTTTTTCGTCACAATATTTCATTCATTTTTGATTTATAATGTATGCAAACCTAACTAAAAACATCTTAAGAAATGGTTTTACATTGTCTGTTGTATTAGTGACATAGTACTACCAGGAAGTAATAATTTTAGTTGAGCACAAACATGATACATGACAAGTAACAGTAAGGAAACACTAAAATTGAAATTGTATTTGAGATGATTTCATTCAGTTGTTTTACTATGACAGGTTAGTGAAGCTGCACCATTAAAATGTCAGGCTGATATTATGAAAGAAGAACTGATAACATGTGAATCTACAGAATATTCCATTGAAAATTTACCTTTATTACTTCATCAGGTACAGTCATTCAGTTTCATTTCAGTTATATTACCTGGGTTGGGTTAGTTCTGATGGAAATAAAAGTGTTTAGTCAGCTGTATGGAAATTTAACAAGCTACTATACTCATCTCACTGTAACACAAGCTATATTGGCTGTCAGTGGCTCATTTCAACTCACTAGTCTGGCAAACAACCATTCAACATATTTTCTATGCCTTTTGCAATGGTATGTTTAAATTCTTGTTAGCTTTTTGCACCAGTAAATTAATTGTTTAATCTTGTTTCAGCATTTTACTGACAGACTTCAGCAATTAGTACAATGTAAACATCTTCATATGTTACGATGGAAAAGATTCTGTGAACATACCAGTACTATTGAGGCACTGTTTCCAGTTTATCAACAAAGATTAGCGTATGTGTTTTCTTGTTTTCAAGTATTGTGAAATCTTTTATTTTCATAGGCTCCAAATTTGTGGAATAGTTCTCAAAAGCATATTTATGGGAATATAGTTTACTGGATTGTATGATGCATGAAATTTGATAATTTTACAAAAAGTACAAATAGTTACAGAATTCTGTTTCATCTTAAATTGCTTACTATCACGGAATATTAAAAAGTCAGATATGTCGACCAATTTGTTATTTAAGTCCTTCAGGATAAGGAATTTTATGAATCATAATGTTTTAATGTTTGATATTTTTTTCAGTCATATTTTAGCTGAATATGAAGATTGTTTAGAAAGAGCTCAACGTCTGTCTGTTGCTAGGGAAGCCCATCTAGCTGGTAAAGATTTCTGTGTACCACTGATACAACCAGATGATATGTTAATCTATTTAAGATGGTTAGTTTGTCACCTCCATTCATGCAAAAGATTTCATCAGTATCTCAGGGTGAGTTATGATAAATAAATGGAAAAAATAGATTGCACCCCTCCAAACCGAAAAAACATTTCAGACAACTGACCAAGTTTTGCTTCAGGCCTGCTAATAAAAGTCTGTCCACACACAGATGTAAAAGTCTTTGAAATTGTTTTTATAATTCCAGGTTTTACAGTGGTTAGCAGTGACTCATAAAAATGAGATTTGTCCAATTGATGATGATGATGATGAAAATGAGGAAGAGGTTATTTGGTTTTCTGGTTTTAAAGTTTGTTGGAATTGGCTAAGGGATCACATATCATCAACATTTTCCTTACATTTATGAGGATTCAAACCCATGGCACTTAATCATTATTCAGGTTGAACTAAGCTAATCTTAAAATTCCAGAGCAGATGAAACTTCAGCAATATTATGTACCTCACTAATAATTAATTTGTTAATGATAGGATGTAGATAAATAATTGAGGTTTGAAAGTATGAGAAAGTATAGTTATATATGTATATACTGTATATTAGTTCTTGGTATTAGAACTGATTAAATGTTTTTAATGTGAAAAGATTAAAGAATGATATATATATATATATATATATTGTAGGAAGATTTAGCACATGTAACTAAAATTGCATCCCGATATCAGGATGATGTTTTAGGCCTATCATCACGACCAGGATCTGGTTTATCACGACCTACGTCATCACGATCATCATTAATGACCCCTCCAGTTCCAGCACCTCCACCATTATCTACAGCACTGTTATCAACACAACCACTTCCATCTTCTTCAGCAATTTATGCTGCTGCAGCTACAGGTTAGATATTTTTTAGACAAGAAAGCTTAATGATACTTTATCTGATAATATTGATAATTATCCAATAAATTTTTTTTGTATTTTAGAGGGTAACTTCTGCAAGATAGTCACTTGTTTCTTTACTCTTGCTTACTAGGTTGAGATCATCCCTTTGGATTTTTCAATCCTGTTTCCCCTGTCATTGATGCAGACATGAAGGTCTTTGGCATAAGAAGCATTGATTTATGTAGATGGAACAATAAACTGAGGCCCTTTGTTCTACGGACTGTGCATGTTTAACATCCCTTAGTGAACTGGCCAAACTTCGCTCTTTACACGCTTTCGAGATAATACCTTCAGATTTATCAACCCAGTTTCCCCTTGTCAGTAATGCAGGTAAGAGGGGCTGGCATGGAAAAAGCATTTAGTCGTTCAGGTGGGACAATAAACAGAGACTCTGTGTGCTAGTCTGCACTGTCCATCGACAGTTGGAAAATCGAAAAAGAGCTGGTTTATGCCACTGTCCGGGAAAAATTTTCTTCATTGCACCCTGCATGGCGTTGCCCGTCCTCATTAGCCCTAATGGTCCAGAAAAGTAGGACGTAAAACTCCATTCATTCCATTTCATTTCTTATTACACACTGAATGGGGATATCTATCTTTACTGGAGGAGAGGTATTATATAAAGGATAATCATTGTTGCTTCCTTGACTGGCATTTAGTAACTGGGGTATGAATAACTGGACAGAATTATATGGATAACAATTACTTTAATAACGTTTCGACGATGATCATTGCTTGATAAAGACGAAAGCATCATCCTTGAAACATCGCAAGTTATTTATTAAAGTAATTGCTACCCATATTATTGTGTCCAGTTATAGATAATTATTGTGAATTAACTTGTATTTCTAGGTGGTGGTTTAGCTTCAGATGAACATAATTTACAGTTACCATTACATGTTATGGATTTTCACAGTTTACGTCCACATTTAGCTTTCTTTCTCAATATATATGGTATTAATTACGTAAGTTCCAACTGCGTTTTATTCCTTTGATCTTCTTCATTTAAGTTTGTGACTCGTTTTATTAGACATGAAATATGAACATGTCTTATATCAACATAGTGACTCAAATTCTATAAATTCTCTAGATTATGGCCAAAATAAACACTTTTTTAATAATTTCATTGTTGATAATTGTTTTTAGGATTTAGAAAGTATTCATAATACAGCTGATGAAATGGAGATGTATGCTGCTATTAATAGAAAGTTTAAACATGTATTTTTGAAACAAGAACACATGAAAACATTTAGAATGTATGATAGAATAGAGGTATAGAAGTAATTTACACATATTAAGTTTGCCATTTTGTCAAGAAATGACAGAAATCAAGTTTCATAAGTTTAAAATCAGTGTCTGAATATGACAAGCTTATAATCAGCCTGGTTAAAATGAAGATCTGGATGCTTCATTTCCACTTTGTTCTACAGGTTACTCAACTTATCATCTATAATCTGACAAGATTCTTTTTCAATTGATGCTAACCAATCAAACCCAGAATTCCTCACATAGAGGACTGAACATTTGAATGAATAGTTGAATATCAAATGGCACAACAGAAGATGCTTCACAATTTTCTCTGATTTCAGATGGGACAAGAGGGATATGGCTCAGAATCATCACAGAATGCCTTTAAACAAGATTGTAATTGGTTACCATATATTAATATTAAACCTGAAACTGATGGACATCAAGAGAAACAACTTACTATATTAAAACAGAATAATACTATAGATCCCTTACTCAAAGATTTGGCTCATTTTATACATGTACAAGATGTAGAGGTATACTATATCATGAACATAATAACTAATGATATTCCTGTACATAGAATTAAACATATATTTTCCTTATTATTGTATGGATAAAAGTTTTATTAACACTTCCTCTTAAAATTGAAACTGTTCTTTGTAACATGGAAGTTTTTAAGTAATACTGGGTTAAGATCAGTGCTTAAAGGGACATTGATGGCATCAATTTGCACCGGCCAAATTTTCAATCTGAAATATGTGGTTCTTGCAAATCCACTATTACTATTTATGACGTCAATAATCAAGCATATTTTGCGATTACCCCAATCTCCAGATATTTCATGGCCTGTCTCACACATGTATGATTTCCTGATCTTTACACATATATGATTGTAGAAAGTACAAGATACTATGAGAGCACATGCTATGTCAGTACGGGATCCACCTAGTATACATCCTGCTTCAGTAACAACACATCCTACATCATATAATACAGCTAGTGTCTGGAAAAAAATATATTCTAATCATAGTCTGTATACCACGTTAGTATGGATATTCTTAATTACTAGTTACTTAATCTAAATTATTCTCCTATAAATTCTCTATTAACTTTTCAAGTGTTAGGAGGGGTGTCAATATTTTCAGAAAGTTTGTCATTTTATTTCTATGGTTTTTATATACCAAACTGATTGACCTTAACATGCAATATAAAAATCCATCATCTTAATGTCTTGGTTGGTAGAAACCTCTGTAGAGATCTGTGATACACATAAGTATTGGGAACTTTTCGTAGTTATAAGAAAGCCTGTGAGGAATAGGCAATGCATTTCAATATTACCTTGTCCTTTTCACTCATAAATTATTACTAAATATTGTTTATTTACAGTGGAAGTAAAGAAGATGATGAAGTAATGGATTTAGATAATGATGATTCTGATAGTAACTATAATAACAGAAATACTAAAAATAAAAAGAAACGTCGAGATAGTTATGACTATAAAAATACTGTTCAAATGTTAGGTAAATTCTTTTCTTTCTTACTTTCTTATTAATTACTGTACCTGGTTGTCTTTTTAACATGATTGATCCTTTGCAGCAAGAAAACTTTGCTAGATATTTTATCTTTCAAATATAAATATCTGATTAAGAGCTTTAACCAGTGTATATTTCAAGCATAGACATGAGTATACTAGAAGAACACTATTTTATTTAAGGATTGGATGAAGGAGAAGAAAATGATGATGGTAATACCTCAGTTCCTGGTGCCTTTCTTTCATTCTTACATCTTCGTCATCTACGTATCAGAGACCTACAACGCACAGTAAGTAGTCATTTAATAGATTCTGTATAATTTAAGTGTTTGATGATATCCTAAAACACATATTATGTGATACAGATTAGTTATTTACAGTGTCAATGACGTTTATCAAAAGAATAGATGTTGAGTTCTTTTCGGAGTGTTGATTGTTATGTATTTCAGTGTCTTAGTGTCCTAAATTATTTCCGATCTATTGAAAGAACATTAACTATCAATGATGGTGGACTATCACATGATTCTGGCTCGTACCAAAAAACCAGGTCAGTTTTAATATATTGAGTGTAAACCTTGTTGTTATATTAGTTCAGTTGTCATACCATGACAGACAACTTTCAGATTTCAGACATTACTCTTTAGAACAATAAATAGAATTCATGTTTTTATTAGATTGGTGACTACCAATTTTCACTTTCTTTGTCAATTTTAATATAAGTTGTTTCACAGCAATATTCATATAAAACGATCAATTGAAATGACCTTCAAAGATAAACCCTATAACCTTTAGGTTATTATTTCAGTGCTCAAGGTCATCGTGTTAAAACTGAGTCTGATGGTACCCAAGGTGGTGGTGGTGGTATAAATTATCATGGTTATTTACATAATACACCTGCTGATTACAAGTTAGTCATTTACTATATACTTCTTTACTTTTTATCTATTTTAAACTATATCTAGTTTATACCAAAAATTATGCACTTCTTTACCATTCTCTTCTGTAAAATTAAAATGTTTCATCAAAATTGATCAACGAACACTTAGTTTTCAATAATTGTTTTGAACTTAATTTGACATAGGAGTCAATGGAGTCTGAAGCTGTCAAAACTCTTACATTGAAACATGGAATGCTAGGTCAGAAAGATACAGAAGAAAGGGATCCATTGTATTCCTAATGAAGTTAACTGATATTGTTGATGTATAAACATATATGATAATTTCAGGGTAAATGAAAGTGAGTTTGTACAATATACAGAGATAGAGAATCATGATAATTTTTACTCTGTAGAGGAAGGTAGAGTACATGTACAGGATCAGAGAGGTTACTATATCATGTACGATCAAGCACTTCATGATCTAGAGTAAGTCTTCAATATTTATTAGATTTTTTTTTCTTTATATCTTTTATTATTACCTGTAGTAACCAGGGTTATTACACAATTAGATTGTTAGGATTTATAGTGACCCATGTTTTATAATAGTACCAAGGTTGGGGGACTTTGTATAGTCAAATATTCATGTACTAGATCATGAAGGTAATGGTCTCATATAATTTGTATATATATTCCAAGAAAGATTTTATCAAGCTATGTGATATTTATGCTATTTTTATAGGGAAATGGAGAAAACATTACTGTTAGTAGCTACACATTATATAAATAAAGATAAAGAATTACGTCTTGTATCTAGAATGAAAATAAATGAATCTGTTCGACTAAGATCAGTAAGTATTTCTATAATCATTGCAGTTTACCATGTTAAAAATATTTGCTCTGATTCTTTTTATTTCATTAGAATTAGAAACAACATAAATTTTTCTGTGCCTGTTTATAGCAAACTGTAGGAGATTTTGATATTCCAACATATGCCCATCAAGAAGTTGATAGAATTGGTATATTGTTAGATTTATGGAGTAACGAAGCTGCTTTTATTGAAAATAAGCGAGAGGTAAGTGATAGACTTTGTTTAAATATAGTTTAATTCCTGTTTTATTATACGCCCACATCTCTCTATGAGGATGTATGTTGTCGGCACCCCTGTCCGTCCATCCATCAACATTTGCTTGTAAACGCTCTAAAAACTAGATTTTTTAATGGAATCAAATGAAACTCGGTATGTGTATACATAGTCATAAAACGGAGATCAAGTTCGAATTTGAGCTATTTTGACCATTAGAAGCAGAGTAATTGCCTTTGCCTCAAAATGTTGAATATGCTATTACTTAGTTTTCAACCGATTTTGATGAAACTTAAAATGGATGTTTTGTTTTTACTATCCGCATGCCGTGGTGGGTGTATATGGCTGTGATCCACTATCTTTTATATTATCTTGTTATTGTAGTTATGTTTAATATTATCTTGTTATTGTAGTTATGTTCAATATTATCTTGTTATTGTAGTTATGTTTAATATTATCTTGTTATTGTAGTTATTTTTTTTTATATTATCTTGTTATTGTAGTTATGTTTAATATTATCTTGTTATTGTAATTATGTTTAATATTATCTTGTTATTGTAGTTATGTTTAATATTATCTTGTTATTGTAATTATGTTTAATATTATCTTGTTATTGTAATTATGTTTAATATTATCTTGTTATTGTAATTATGTTTAATATTATCTTGTTATTGTAATTATGTTTAATATTATCTTGTTATTGTAGTTATGTTTAATATTATCTTGTTATTGTAGTTATTAGATTGTTATTATGAAGCCTATCAACATGTGTATGATCGAGATGAGAAGAGAGGTCTGGCACAAGTTATGACTGATATTATCTATAGACGTCCACGATATGACTTTACAGCACCTTATTTTATACAGTCTTATCGTACAGAATGTGTTATATTGCACCATACTTCTACATTAGTTAAAAATATTCTGGATAAACAGGTATGCTTATGTTTATTATCAAATTGAAACAAATTGAAGTTTTACATCCCACTTTTCTGCTCCTCATTGAACTGAGCAAATGAATATTTTTTATTTTCAGTGATTATAATACGGCTCTGTAATGTACACAGTTGCGGCACAAAGGACCATTGTGTCTTTATGCAGCTGTAGTTGAATTCTTAATATAATCCTGATTACTGTATATTGATTATTGTAATGTTATTATATTTTGTAGATAGAAGAAGAAAGAGAATATATACAGCGTGTATGTAGAGATGGTGATGCAGAGTTTGGTTTACCGTATCGTATTATACCAAAACAACCAATATCAGTTAATCTAACTAGGTCAGCTTTAAAAAATGTGTTTATGCTAGAATTTCATCCTACATTGTCTATTGCTAGTCGTATACCACAGGCTATCAAATACTCTCTTACTGTAAGTATGACATCATATTCATTGATGAAAATATTGGGTATGCTTAAAAAAGAGTGCCTTCTGTTCCAGATTTTGAAGGATAGACTATAAACTCAATTTTATATTTTGTGTTAAAATTTTGAATGTTTAGTTATATGTTGAAATGAACTTGTATTAAATATAGTTTCCCAAATTTGTCCACCCATTAGTGTAACCAAGATCCGTCATTAGTACAATAGAAGTAAGAAATTTTTTTGCACTCCTACAGCTAAGAGGTATTGAGATGGGAGTATGACTATATTTCAGTGCTGAACTTTTGAGTTATTGCCCTTGAAACTAGTTATGCTAATCAAAATCTATTGTGAACAATATTGAAAATCTGGCATTTTCATTCTGATGTTAGTAAATTATCATATTTCACACGAGTTAAAAGTTTAAATATTATTTTAAATCTAATTTAAAACTATTTTGTTTTAGGAGTTGATAAGAGTACATAAACCAGCTACTGTACAAGATAAAATACTCCTGGAAAAGAAATTATTAGAGGTGGCACAGAAAGAATTTAGGAATTTAAGAAATATGGGGGCATCCTACACTCCTCAAATACAAAAAGATGTAAGTTTCCTTCTAAGAATCATAGTATGTTTGATTATAAATCATGGATCATGAATAGTATTTTTTCTGTAAACAAAATGTTAATTTGAAATTCATGTCAGAATGGAACTTGCTCCCTTATCTACCTGAATCATTAATTTTTTTATTTATTGTAAATATGTTGTAGCTGTATTCAGATGTATTTGCTGAAGATCCACTTTTTATCTGTGAAATAGCTCAAAGTTTAGTGTCTCAGAAAGAACAAGGTGCTTCAAGATCTACCAAAGATAAACAAATGGCTATTGTGAATGCTTATTGTCAGGTGATGGAGGTAGGTTTTAAACCATTTTTTTTTTATAAATATCATTAGTTTAATCATAGTATTGCTTTTAAATCAATTTGATTAATGAAATGAATCTGTAATTGAAATGGTGAAATTTTTGTTTGTAGACTGTCACATTAAGACATCGTTTGATGGATTCAGCCTGGGAATCAGAGATACTGGCCAAGGTAAGAAATTATGTCCTTTGATGTAATGTGACCAAGATCCAGAACATATATTTTATTTTTATACGCCTACACGTAAGATGGGCGTATATTGTAATCACCCCGTCGGTCCGTCCGTCCGTCCGTTCACATTTGGCTCGTGCTCACTCTACAGGCTACAGTTCTTATGGATTCTTTTGATTTTTATTTTGTGTGTCAATGTCATTATGAAGATGATCCCTATTGATTTTCGTGATGATCGGATAATTTTTCACCGAAATATCGTGTCTGACCTGACGTTTTTCTCTATTAGCTATATTGTGCAACTCGTGCTCACTCTACAGGCTACAATTTTTTACAGATTCTTTTGATTTTTATTTTGTGTGTCAATGTCATTATGAAGATGATCCCTATTGATTTTCGTGATGATCAGATAATTTTTCACCGAAATATCGTGTCTGACTTGACGTTTTACTCTATTAGCTATATTGTGCAACTCATGCTCACTCTACAGACTACAATTTTTTACAGATTCTTTTGATTTTTATTTTGTATGTCTATGTCGTTATGAAGATGATCCCTATTGATTTTCATGATGATCTACCGATTTTCATGATGATCTACCGATTTTCATGATGATCGGATAATTTTTCACCGAAATATCGTGTCTGACCTGACGTTTTACTCTATTAGCTATATTGTGCAACTCGTGCTCACTCTACAGGCTACAATTGTTTACAGATTCTTTTGATTTTTATTTTGTATGTCAATGTCATTATGAAGATGATCCCTATCGATTTTCGCGATGATCGGATAATATTTCACCGAAATATCGTGTCTGACTTGACGTTTCACTCTATTAGCTATATTGTGCAACCCTGTAGTCACTAAAGACTGTTTAATCATTTCTGACCGCTGCCAGTGGGCGTATGTTACCTTGCCTGGCAAACTATCTTTCTACATTATAATACTTATGAATTGGTACAATTACTGAAAAATATATTTGTACATTTCTCTTTAATTCAGAGTATAAAACGTATATGATTGAAATAATCAATAACTTGGCCCTTAGTTTATATTCATACAATATCAGATTTCATACTCCAATATTCAGATAGAGAATTTAAAAAGATTCCCTTATGAGAACATTGTCATAGATATGAAATATGAAGACCTTTTGTTCAATAACATTGAACATTCATCATTAATTTTTACTTGCTATGATTTTGTAGGTATACAGGAGTCAGGCTAAAGAATTAGAATTTGAAGATTATCATATGTTTTTAAGATTCGTTCAGTTTGAATTTGCTGTATTTAAAGAAGATGCTGGGAAACCGCCACCAATATTTATTACATCTTTACAAGAAGATGATACTTCTGTTGATAGGTAAGTTGATTATTCAAATTATCATATTAAGGTGAATTAAACACTGTCTTGCTGATTGTTAAAATCATTCTTTATAACGTGATGCTTTCTGATGCTAATTTTTCTGGGTTTTTTTTATGATTTTATTTAGAGTTTAAGTTTAGTTATTTTAAACAAGCCTTGGATATTCAATATTCCTATAGTAACATAACTTGTATTGTAGATATGTACCATCATCTTTATATCTAGCCATACATGAATTAGATGAAGGCCATGTTGGAAGATTTTCATTCAGAAGTCGAGATGGATTTATGCAGGTAGTATGATGATTGGATTATATGTTAAGCCTAATGGGACAGAGCTCTGCAGATGTGCTCATACACAAATTTACCACCAAACTAATTAATCATTAGGAAAAAAAGTTGGATTGAAAGATATTGCGTAGAGAACTATTATGTTGAAATAAAGGAATATATATATATAGTTCACCATTTAACTTTGGCATTTACATATATTTTTCATGCTTTACAGATATTGAGACCAGGTGGTGTCAAAAGTTTGCAAGTTATATTGAAGGCTCAAGTGGTCCATAAAAACTCTTTGGTGGCAGCTGTACAACAAACTGATATATGTCATCCTGTTAAATATACTGAATGGAAAAGGTGAGAACAACATTAATTGGGTAAATTGTTATCTGTAACTGATTAATTGGTGAAGACAAGAAAATGCTAAATTACAGACACACAATAAGATAAAAACTCTTAGTAATACTCAATAGTAATATGACATTTCTATATATGTTCCAAGCATTGTAATATTTTCTAGTGGATTACTTTATGCCAAATAGTTTTATGTCTAAATAATAGAAATATTGTGTTTAATTTCAGTAGTGGAAGATTGAGTCCTACTGAAACTAAAAGTGAAAAAAGTTCGGTAACACAAATGACAAGTTTATCTATTGGTCAACAGAATCTGGTATTTGGCTCAAAATCTGATACAAGGGGTAAAAAAATCTACCCGGAGGCCTTTATTTCTTTACAATGTGAAAAGGTAAATTGCATTTCTCTTTAATATTTTATGTCAAACTATGTGTTTTAGAATTCAACTGTTGTGGTCATAACAGAACTTCTTTTCTATCCAGGTTCAAAATAGTGCATTTTTTACTGGTTGAAAAGGAAACCGAAAATGTTCACTTCAAACTTGAAATTTTAAGGCAAAGATGTTTTATTCTGTGAATTATTTCAGATATTTCAATTTTGATCTTTTCCAGGCACCAAGTAGGGATTTGATGTTAAATGAATTTGTTAGTAAAAAACAGCAAATGGGAGTGATTCTCAAAAACCCTGAAGAATTAGAAACTCTCAAGAGGTATGGATCAAGAAAAACTGGCAAAATAAATGCAGAATCATCATGAACTTCAATTTAAACAGGAGTTATACTTCTGTCTTAACTATTTTAAGAAAAAAAATTCATAGATAATTTATTCTCAATGTGTTTTTTTACTTTCTAAGATTTATTCAGGGTAGTCCACAAACTTCTGCATAAATATACTGTATTTTTTTTGTTGTAGAAAATTGATATCAGTATTTTGTGAAAGATTTCATCTACGTGTAGCTCAGTATTCATTACGTGCCCAGTTAATACAATATTACCAGAGTATAATCAGTCTATTGGAAGAATTTCCTAATATAAGAGATACATATTTTATGATGGGGGAACTAAATGAGAAGAAAACATCAGTTGATGATATACAGGGTGTTTCACCAGATTCAAGGTTTATTTTAATTCATAATTTAAATTTGACTATATTAATACAATGTATACTGAATATCTTGATTAATCAAATCTACTTGAACAAGAGTCCATTGCTCTTCCAATCTTTGGGAAATTGAGGTCCAGTTGGCAAAAAAATAAATCAACATTCCTGATCGGGTGCCTATGTAAAGTTAGTCAACTTCCTCTATTCAATGTACACAAGAAACATTTCATACCCTAACTTATACGCATTGATCTATTGTAATACAGCTGGGCTATTATAATTCTATATTCCAGAACATTTAAAACCAGGCCAAGACAGTTGTTATCATCAACAGGAAAGGATGTATTAAATATCTGGTTTATACCACATCATTCAGAAGTTTTGATAATATTTAAATCATTAGATGATGAACAATGTATGAGAGCACTGCATCATTCACTGTCTATTGTCTCAGCTTTACATGATATTTTACAATATCTCTGTGCTCATTCAAGACTTGGCAGTTCTCATGCTAGATTGGGCTCCAGAAAGTTGGAATTTGTATCAGCTGATTGGGGTGGCACTGAAGGCATTGGTGAGTTTAGATTGATGCGAAATCCTAAAATATGCTGTTTTTCTCCTTTTGATTTACTTACTGATAAGTATATGCGTCTGTGTTCACCATGAGCCTGCAGACCTTTCTTAAACTAAATCACAGAATGCTGTAAAAACAATCTATCAAACCTGCCAAATGACCCTTGAAATAGTTTTGATCAGATAAATATGCATTATTTATTTATTGATTTATGTTTCAAGATAAAAATTGATTCTTTTTTAAGGTTCTGAATTACGTGAAATTCAAAAGCAGATAAACAATTTAAATATACCAACAGATCCTAAATCTATTGGTGAATTCCTAGCTTTACGACGTGATGTTATGTTTCTAGAATTTGATACTGCTGTAAGATATTCAATGGCTGATACTTTTATAGCCACAGGAAATATTCCAGCTTTTAAGGTAAGGTCGGACTATGTTTAATTTCAAACTTATATATTTTCTAGTGGACCTCAAGCCCTACCATAGTTTAAATTGATTGATGAAAAAAATAGGTTTGAGGGTAAAGTATTAAAATGTTTTTTTATAGCAGATAAATTATATTGTATTTTGTTATAGGCTGTGAATAATAACACCTATCATGCTCTACCTTCATTAAGTAATGTACAGAAACCTAGTTTATTTAATACACAGCTCGTAGTACCTGAACCATTAGAACCTCGTGATTCTACAGCTTTTATACTCTTTCCCTGGAGAAGTTTTCTTGGCAGGTAAGTTTCCTGAATTGTGATTATAAAATTCTGGAACCACCTCTAACTTAACTTATAGTAAACTTATCACCTCTAGTTTGTAGGTAATCTTAATTATTTTTCATTTATTAAGGCCATACAAAATAAATAGTCTGTTTTACAGGCCCAAAAGTGCCTGATTGTTGCCTTAATATTAAATGTACATTAAATTTGTGGAAATAAATAATAAATGCTTTTTCTCGCTCCTATTTATTCCAGTTGAAATTCTAAAAAAAGGGCTTATAAATAATAGATAATAAATTCTCTGAGGCGATGGCTCAGTGAGTTAGACGTTTGCTCGCTAACCTGAAGGTCCAGGGTTCAATCCGGGCATAAGTCGAGATAATACCTTCGGATTTTTCAATCCGGTTTCCCCCTGTCAGTGATGCAGGTAAGAGGGGCTGACATGGGCCGTCTAATCGTTTGAATGGGACAATAAACCGAGGCCCTGTGTGCTACAGGCTTTGCATGTTACAGATCCCTCTTTTTTGAAAAAAAAGGCCTGTAAAACAGATTATTTATTTTGTATGGCCAAATGTAAAACCAATCTCAACCTAGTTAAACTTTCGGTGATAATCTGAACTTTTCATATTATCTTTAAGGATCACTATTAATGAACTCTTTTATATAAACAATTTGAAAAGGAAATAAGAATTAAAAGTGTAATAATTATATCAATATAATTGTAGAAATGGTCCATATCCTGTCATGCATGATCAATGGGATACAATAGAATATAATATACAGTTGTGTTTATCAGGTTTAAAAGATGTAGACAGGTAAAGCTTGATTTGAGGTTCAATATCTTGACAAATGTTGGGCTCAATGATGTACTCACACCAAAACTTACCATGAAATGATCATATTTTCATTTAAGTATATATGACAAGAAAATCCAAATTTATCTCATATCTTGTTAAAAATCTGGAATTCTGAAAATTCAGCATAATTATGTAACATTCACTTTACTTTTACGAAAGACTTTATTGACCTATTCATATTGACTTGACCTTTGTTCAAATTAAGAATCTGAATTTTCAGACATGTAGCCAATGGTGAAATATTAGGCGTTAGTTTACTGATGGAAGATGTTTTACATCTGGGTATCCAAGACAACATATTCATTGAAGAACCAGTAGACTCTGATAACCAGCACCTCAAGACTCAAGAGTCTAAATCTTCACACCATGGCAGTATTAGTAGAGCTAGTTCAGTTAGTGGGAAAGAGTTAGGTGAGTAGAAATGAAAAAGTTACATTACATTCAAAATAATTGACATGATCTATATGACTATTGACCAAAAAAAATAACCTTCCATAAAAATTATTAAATAACTGCAAATATACAACTTCAAATGTGAGAATAAGTTTGCCATGTCCTCTCAAAATAGAATACTTGGAGACATTCAATTTTGGTAACCTTTGTGGTATTTTGTATTTTGTTCCTATCTATTTGAATTGATACTTGGAGATTAGTTTAATAATTGTGTTTGTGACTTAGGTATTCCTCAATTTAAAACAGTATCAAGAAATCAACAGCCTTTAGAAGCATATAAACTGTTAAAATCTTTCCTGAAACTTTGGAAATGTTTAGAAATATTGAAATATGATTGGGGTAAAAGGAGAGTTATCAGACCTTGTATTGATAATACAAGAATATTTAAAGAGTATAGGTAAGGGTTTAATTTATTTTTATATCCTTACATCATCAGGTCAAACTTTAGCTGAACATGATTTATAGAATGACATTGTTAGATCCTGGAATGAGTGAAGTTAAGATAAATATTATTAAAATATATAGACAACCATATGCAAAGTCCTTGTTATTGTAGATATCAAATCAATACTATTTATATCACTTTATTACACTTGTATAGTAAACTATACAGAACAGAGATATTATTATCAGTATTATAGTCTACAGCTCTGTATACTGTATAATACAAATATTTTGTCTAGTAAACTATACAGAACAGAGATATTATTACCAGTATTACAGTCTATAGCTAGAAGATTAGGTCAGGGTGATATCTATGAAGGATTAGCATTACATACTGATATACTCACAGTACCCAAAGGTGTTTCAGAAGTAGAGGTTAAAGCTAAACAGGTCTGTAACTATCTTACAAATTAAAGGGTGCTTTCTCATCTTAAAAAGGACTAAAAATCAAATTTTTAATGATCTATATTGCATATTCCTTGATCAAACTTTCAGAGCAGTGTTCTGATTATTTAGTTTACTGACGGATATAGGCTAATACTTACCAACTATATATTTCTTAAAATTGCGTTTGATATCTATTTTCCAATTTTTATCGGAGTATGATAAATGGGGGGGCGTATATTGCCATCATCCATGTCTGTCGGTCCGTCCACAATTGCACGTAAACACTCTACAAGACACAATTCTTGACGGATTTTGACAAAACTTGGTATGAGTGTTCGAGAAGAATCGAAAAATATTTAGTATAAGTTATTGCCCTTGTTCTTGAAAACGTTTTCAATTTTTAGCCTGTAAACACTCTAGAAGGCACAATTCCTGGTGGATTTTGACGAAATTTGACATGAGTGTTTGTTATCAACCAAGGATAAACCCTATTGAAAATCAGAAAAATCGAAAAATATTTAGTTTGAGTTATTGCCCTTGTTCTTGAAAATGCGTTCCATTTTTAGCTCGTAAACACTCTAGAAGCACAATTCATGACAGATTTTGACGAAACTTGGCGTGAATGTTCGTAATCACCCAAGGATGAACCCTATTGAAAATCAGAAGAATTGAAAAATAATTAGTAGGAGTTACTGCCCTTGTTCTTGAAAACGCTTCCAAATTTAGCTCTTAAACACTAAAAGGCATGATTCTTGCTGGATCATACTCAATGTTATTCAGTATCGCCCTAAAGAGTTCAAAAGAAGTGTATGACTGAAAGTTGAATATTTCATACTGGTGATTGTTACTGTACTGCTAAATATTTTTATTCAAAATCTAAGCTGCCAGTGGGCGTATATTACCTTACCTGGCAAGCTATCTTGATGATATTTTAAAAGCTAATATTATAAGATAATCAAATTTGAGTACTATATTGTAGATGGTACGATTATTAGAGAATTTAGAATGTCATATGATTAATGAAGTTAGAAAGAAACTAGGACGCGAATTATCTCTAGCATTAGCTGAAAGGTGTCGAGAAGAGAGTAATCTACCAACTGATATCTGGAAAAAACCTGTAAGTAGCTTTTCTTTCATTGTAGGAAATTGGTTGTTTGGTGAAACTAGCGACTTGGGTGAATTCAGTCCATTCCTCTACAAAGGAAGACTAGGCTCAGTACAACCTTGTTATTTCAACATAGTGACAACCGAAGTAATTTTACCCTGTTTATTTAATATGTTGTCCATACTTATATTTATCTTTGAACCAACCTACTTCTCTAGGTGATGAAAGAAAGTTTCACCATCAGAAGACCATATGTTGGTGAACATTTTGCTGAACAGCTACTGAGTGAAGTAGAGGAAACAGAGGATGTAATGATATTTAAAAAAGAGCATTTTGAGAAATGTTTGACTCAACTGTATAGAGAGATTAATATAAGGGAGAAACACTGTTTTGAAAGGTATGATGTGATGCTTATAATTATTCACAATATTAAATATTTATTACTAATAATGATGAAAGTTATAGCTGAGAAGAATTGTAATAATGAAGTATTCTTTATATTACAGTTACAGCATGTATTATGAAAATTTGTTAAAAATTCACCATCAATTATTATATCAGAGTGAGCAGGTATGGATTTTTTAACTAAATAGATTTTAAACATTTTGTCATGAATTGTAGATCTTTAGAGAGGAGTTTTGAAGCTGTGACTTCAAAACATTATAGCATGCTCCAAGATGTATTTTAATAAATGTTGTGAGAAATTAAAACAGGAGATTATAAAATGATAATAAAGAAATATTGATGATTTGTAGGAAGTAAAGCAGTTAAAAGATCAGTTAAAATCATGCCAGAATAGTACAGTTATTGATGTTCAATGTCAGTTGGCTGAAGAGGCTCATGATCTGTTGATGGGTAGAGTATTATGATTAATAACTCTTTCTTTCTTTCTTAATTTTCGCTCCTAATGGAATGTGTTCTACCATGATTCAAAATGTAAATGTCATCATATTTTATTTCATATCAACTCTGATAGAACAAAAGCTTATTTATATCCAATAAAATATTTGATGTTTTTTGATACATTAATTTAATAGAGGTGACAGCATTACGTTCTAAAATAAGTGAAATGAGAGAACAAAGTTTAACACAAGAGAGAGATATAAGAGAACGTGTTAAAGAAGATTATGATGATTTAGTTAGAAATCTTTATGATGCTTTGTTAAAATTACGTCAGAAATATGATGAATATAGGTAGGATCTTAATACATTACATAATGTTACAACTACTTGACTCTACCCATTTACAAACAATACTGTGAATCAGATCATAGTATGATAAAAGCTTATAGGCTTTTACGAAATGAATTATCAAACCACACTTTTTCCACTTCTTATCACATTCTCTGCAACCATGTTTTCAGACTTAGAAGCTAATATTTGTTATCTATTTATCTTAAGATAAAATGAATGACAAGATTTGATTGAAATATGTTTGTTTAGAATTGATTGAATGAGGTAAAGGAAATTGAGATAATGTATATGCTATAATGTTGACTATTATTATTATAGAAATGAAATGACAGATGATATGTTTGAGAAGATTAGTGAAACTAGAAGAGAAGCTGTAGAGAAAATGAGTAAATTGAAACATAAAGTTGGTGCTGCTAAAAGTAAGACTTAATTTTATCGCATACATTTTTGTATTGTATCAGTGGAAGGTTAATAAAGTTAATATTAAACTCTTAATGTATAAGGTTATTCCTAATATTCTACTGCGAGAATCACTGAACACTTAAAAGAAATTCTGAATGTAACTGAGTGTTGGTCAGGATCAAAAACAACAAAAACTTGAAAACATCAACCCATAGACAAACAGAATGAAAGGAAAAACTTTGTCAACCTAAAATTGATGCTATTTCTACAAGATGTTTGATTATGAAATGAACCTGGGTTTATTTATTATAGAAGAAGATACGTTAAAAGTAAATTTAGATCGTGCAGAGCAAATCAGAGAATTACAACATGAAAACTTTCTTCTAAATGCCTTAGTATTAAAAATGAAAACAATGTCATCATGGAAACACAATCATACATCTAATAACTTTATTAAAGCTGTAAGTAAGGGAAATATTTTTCTTAAATTTGTGTTATATTTCCTGAGGTGTTGTACATACTTTAATTTGACAATGAAACCCCTTCAAAACTGGCATTGATGATGACCTATGATTAGAGAGGTTGAAAAGGCTACTTAAATCATCATTACCTATAATTTTTGCAAACAGATTCACAATACATAAGTAAACTATAGGACCTGATTTCAAAGCCAAGTTTGGAGATTGTACAGATTATAACCTAGTGACTCAGATTTTTCAAATATGGGAAAGGGAATGTCGGTTTACAGAGCCTGTGGTTTAGAGGGCTTTTACCTACCTCATGCTGGCTCTTGTCCATTATTGATATGTTATTGTGTGTTAAATTTGTTTTTCAGGTGAGTGAATTAAGAAAGAACAGTGAAAAGAGTACTTATGATTACATAGAGAAGGAAATGTTGGCTGAAGAAGAAACAATATTATTAAAACAACAGTTAGCTTCTGTTAAAAAATCATTAAAAACTACAGAGAAAGAATGTAATGAAATACGCAAACAATTAGATAAAGAGGTAAATTATCGTAGATATTTTGGCTATATTGTATTCTGTCAAAAATCAGCTTGTAGCAAAAGTAAAAGTGCTATAGTAAAAGTATCCAATAAATAGATTTGAAAAATGTTATTGGTAGACTAGTTTTCATGTGAAAACTCCAAAGATTTATTCACTGAATGGTTGAAAGCAGCTTTTCTTGGAACATAAGATTACTTTGCCAATATCAAGAGATTCTGATTTTGTTTTCAGTTAAAGATAAAGAGTGAACAAGCTCATGCAGCAATGCAAAAAGAAAGAAGTAAACAACAATTGGAGAAAGTTAATTTATCAAATATTGAAAAATTGGTATGGTTATTCTTATACTGTTTTTACTGTGTTGGTTATGTCATAGTTAAAGTTATTCAGAAGAGGTTTTTGGGTATAAGGGAGACACTTAGAGCTTCTTTTTGTACCATTCCTATTTTGACTTCCTGTAATTCTCAAATAAACTGGGCCAGATTATGGATCACAATCTCATATACCATTTCACATTATTGGTTATACACAAAACCACTCTATCTTGAATCCTCTTAGGAATGAGCACTTATAGTATCAAATCATTTAAAATTGATAAATGTATTATTTGTTTCAATGGAAATAAGTTAAGATGGTTATGGTTTAGATTATCTATTTTTAAACATATATTCATATTGCTATTCTATGTTTGACTTCCTACTTCTCAGTTATAAATACTACATTTACAAAGAATGCAGTATTCTAATTATTCTAAAGAATGCAGTATTCTAATTATTCTAAAGCATGCAGTATGCTAATTATTCTAAAGAATGCAGTATTCTAATTATTCTATAGCATGCAGTATTCTAATTATTCTAAAGCATGCAGTATTCTAATTATTCTAAAGAATGCAGTATTCTAATTATTCTAAAGCATGCAGTATGCTAATTATTCTAAAGAATGCAGTATTCTAATTATTCTAAAGCATGCAGTATTCTAATTATTCTAAAGAATGCAGTATTCTAATTATTCTAAAGCATGCAGTATTCTAATTATTCTAAAGAATGCAGTATTCTAATTATTCTAAAGCATGCAGTATTCTAAAGAATGCAGTATTCTAATTATTCTAAAGAATGCAGTATTCTAATTATTCTAAAGAATGCAGTATTCTAATTATTCTAAAGAATGCAGTATTCTAATTATTCTAAAGCATGCAGTATTCTAATAATTCTAAAGAATGCAGTATTCTAATTATTCTAAAGAATGCAGTATTCTAATTATTCTAAAGCATGCAGTATTCTAATTATTCTAAAGAATGCAGTATTCTAATTATTCTAAAGCATG